AGCTGTGAAACCCTTCACGAATAAATTTCATCTATAACTCTATAGATGAAAAGGACAGGAAAGGCTAATGGGCCCAGAGCAGGAAGACCATAGCTAAACCATCCTTGAAAATAAATCCTTCAATCTTTGGTTAAAGACGTCCACTACCTCTTGAGATAGTCTGTTCTACTGTTGAAAAGCTATTCCTGTCATGATATTCTTCCCGAAATTTCTTTCCTTACAATTTGAATCCATTAGTGTGGGCCCTGGCCTTAGGAACAGCAGAAAACAAGCTTGCTCTTGCTTCCATGAAAGAAGGACTGAATTTCCTATTTAGGCTTGAAATGCCCAGACAAATCTTTTGACCATACATGACATATAAGAATAATCACATTGAAGCAACTGCACTTCCTTCTTGGGAAGGATGACAGGAAGTACCGTAATTTTCCATGTATAAGATGATACTTTTGTCTAAAATCTTTAGATTAAAAATTGAGGGTTGTCTTATACACGGAAGTAAGGAGGGGGGAAAGGATCAGAGCACTTTGATTCCTGTTTCCCCTTCTACTTTGTTGCAAAGAAAGTGGAGGGGGAAAGCAGGAATCATCAAAGCGCTTTGATCCCTGCCTTCCCCCTCCACTTGCTAAGCAGGCTTAGCAAGAAAGGGGAAAGCAGGGATCAAAGCTATCTTGCAGCACTTTGATCCCTGCTTTTCCCCTCCACTTGCTAAGCCCCGCTTAGATTTCTTAATGTTGGGTTAGAAAAGTGGGGGTGTCTTATACATGCAGGCATCTTATACACAGAAAAATATGGTACTTAAAAAATACAGAGATTTCTCAACAGTATCAAGTGTACGTTGAAAAACTCAAACCACAGGAAAATACAGAGCTTTCTCAACAGTATTAAGTGTACGTTGAAAAACTCAAACCACAGGGATTTCCTGTTTCTTTTGAAATACTTACATAGTTTAGCAAAAATGGCATTTATCACACACTGGATAAAGACTAAAGACAGAGCAAATCTGAACTTCTCCTGCTTTGCTCCTTCCCCATATTTCCCTCTTGTGCTGTAGAAAGACGAAATAAAATGAGGGTCAGTTGCAGAGAATGAGACATCTATGGGCGCAACTATATCTTATGTGCACATTATCATCTACAAATACATAAGCTCTAGTTTTGTGGGTGGAATGATGGGCCATGGAACATTTTGTCTTTTCTTGATGTTCCATCAATTCACCAGGGGTCACCAGGGCATCTCATTTCTTCCCTAAACATCCAGATTACAGGCAACAGAGGATGGAGAGCCTGCAAATTAATACCTTTGTCACACCGTCTCATGTAGAATATATAACCCAGTTTGCCTTCCAAGGCATGAACTAGGAACATCACATGTGGCCTATCTTTGGATCTTCTGATTTAATACAAGGTTTATACTACCTTTACCTAATAAAAGAGTTCTAAAGAACTTGAAAGCTCACCTTATTTGCAACTTTTTAGTGTTTCAATAAAGATACTACTTAACCACTGAACAAAGAATACAGTGGTGCCTCGCTTAGCGAGTGCACCGTATAGCGATGTTTCCGTATAGCGATCCCTTTTTCGGGATCGCTATACGGAAACATACCCGATCTTCGCAATGGGGAAAACCCGCATTGCGAAGATCGGGTATTGCGGTGGCCATTTTGGAGCCGCCGAACAGCTGATCGGCGGTTCCAAAATGGCCGCCAGAAGCCCGGAAATGGCTGCCAGCAAGGGGAATCCTCGCTGAACGGGTAAGTAAGCAAGGTATTGGAACGCATTAAACTAAGTTTAATGCGTTTCAATACGTTTCCCCTACCCGTTTAGCGATGATTCCGCATAGTGAGGGTTAATCCGGAACGGATTAACCTCGCTATGCGGAGCACCACTGTACTCTGTATTTGCGAAGGTTTTCACGGGTGGGATCTAATGGTTGTTGTGGGTTTTTCGGGCTCTTTGGCCGTGTTCTGAAGGTTGTTCTGCCTAACATTTCGCCAGTGTCTGTGGCCGGCATCTTCAGAGGACAGCACTCTGTGCTGTGGTGCAGTTTGTTTGGGAGTTGAGTATTTATGGCTGTGAGATCAGCTTTTGTCCTTTTCAGGAGATGGGTGATTAGTGTGTCTTATTGTGAGTGTATTTGTCAAAACTATGAAAGTATGCATTTTGGAAAGCATTTGAGGTCCCTTCAGAAGATTATAAGTCTTACTGAGTTTATGTGAATTTCCAGACAAGCATAACATGGAGGATAACAGTTAAAAAGGGAGAAGAAAAGAGCAAGACCAGGCAGCCAAGTGTTAGGAGAGTAAAGTTTCAAATAGCTCATAAGAGTAGACTTTGAAAAGCTAAGCCATGAAAAACTTCATCCAAGACAGCAGTAAAAGGAGGGGAAAAAAAGCCAAGAACAAATTCACTATGTGAAAATATAGTGCTTTAGGGTACAGCTATAGCACATACATCAGAATTATCCCTCCTAGCCTCTGTATCTCTTAACAGTTATTTGTGTTTCCAAGGAAACTAACTGCAAAAGTCTCTACTTGTATTTCCAGAAACAAGGTCCTATGAGCTCATTTGTTTTTTAAAATATGTACAGCAACTTGTTGTTGGTTAGTCATTAAGTTGTCCACTCTTCGCGACCCCATGGACCACAGCACGCCAGGCCCTCCTGTCTTCCACTGCCTCACGGAGTTGAGTCAAATTCACGTTGGTAGCTTTGATGACACTGACACAGCAGCCTACAGTCTTCTAAAAACCTTAGTTACCAGCTGTTAACCCCTGCAGCTTTTGTTTTTACCCTGAGCTGCACAGAGAAGGAACCTGATAGTATAAAAATGGCCTCCAGTTAAGAAAAGCGCATTGTGCTCATAGCAGAAAGTTGCTCCTACAAAGTTTCTAGAATTTAATTACCTTGAAATTATTGAATATAGAACAATATCAAAAATAAATGAATGCATGGGTTTTCTTCCTCTGTCTTGTGTGATTATAGGCACATAGACAGAAAGGAATGCAGAACAATTGCAAAACTGAAGAGAAAGAAGTTTTTGTAGCTTTAATAGCTGTATGAAGTGCAAAATTTCTGTACAGATACTCCAACACCCGTGGACACACTAAATAGCGGAGAGATACGCCAATGAGAGTATTACCTGTGGCACTGCTGTTAAAACCACAAGCTTGCTTAAAGTAATGCTTAAAAGTGAACTAATTTAAATCGCTGAGGCAAGTTGTGTCTAACTCACATCTCATTGATTCTAATAGGTCTACCCTTAAGCATAACTAAATTGAGACCTAGCCTACAGAAACCTCCCTAGGCCATACAGCAGCGACTGGAAGAAGGAACAGAAAATCTTACTACAGTTAAGGGTCTGCATTTAGAGAAATGAATATAAAAACTAGGGGTGGGAGAGTAACAGGGACAAGACTGACTTCCGGAGGATCTTTATCATCTGCGAAAGGTAAGTCCATAGATGAAGGCAGCGACGTCTGTCGCCAGCCCTCACAACACAAAGCACCCAAATTACAAGCGGGATGAAGAGGCAGTGAATGAAAGCGTTCCCACTTCGGGCCACTTACATTGTCTCCTGCAGGACGCCGTACCAGAAGTAACAGACGAAGACTCCCAGGCAGCAGAGAGGCAGCCGCAGCCGCTCCGGGTAAAGGGCAGCCCCTCCGCCTCCCGTCCCTCCGCTCACCCCCATGCTCGGCGGTGGCACTGTTTGAGGTCCCGGCAGCCTCAGCTGTGACAACTCCACGCAAACATCCCGCAGCGGCACCGCCGGCGGGGGAAACGAAGGCCTCATAGAAGCGGCTGCGACTACAGCCCGGAAGGACCCGCCTCCCACCGGTTCCGGGCTGAGGGCTGTCCGGAGCGCTGCCTGACTAGCTGAACGCGGCGGAACCGCGGCCAGTTGAGTCGCGCAGAGCTGCGAGCACAGCCGTCTCCTTTTCCCGCTCCCTTGCTGCGTTGTGTCGCCTTTTCCTTCCCTAGGCCGCGGGTTGAGGCTCTTTGGGCATTGCGGCAGACAACCCCAAGGTGGGTCCTGACAGAAGCGAGGCTGCAAGTTCATATGCGTCAGCCAATGTGGATCGCTGTGATTGTTTGGGTGAGCTAAAGGCGGGGCTTCCCTTCCTCTTTCCTCGTGTCAGCCTCTTATTGCCGGCACTAGAGGACGGGGAGCGGAGGATGCGAATAACCGTTGCTAGGCGACGGTAAGCCTATCAAATAGCCGTGGGCGACCTGGCTTGTCCACGCTTACTTTTGGTGTACTGGGTCCATTGCATTATTTACTCGGGGACAGAATAAACGAAATGTGAATACGTGTTAATAAAAGTATGAGAACATTGCGCTCACAAACCGAGGGTGTGTGTCTGACCTATTCTCTGGAATAAGACGTGCTGTTAAAACGCAAGATTCCTCCCCACCCTCACCCCGTTCAAAACTATAGGTTCAGGGCCCATTCCCTAAAACTCTTATCTTCGATTTACCCTTTTAAAGATTAGGTAGTTTATCCATCTTTGCTGGCCAGAAGAATATTAAGAAAGTATTAGGCCAGTTGCTTAACCCAAAGGACACGTCAGTGCTTTTGGCTTGCACACGTTTCTGTGCACATGTGCTTGACCCAATGGCCGGTTTGTTTGACCTAATACAGTTTTGGAACAGTTTCAACAGAATTTGTTATTCTGAGTTTAATTGTAGTCTGAATCCTCCCCCTTGCTGAGCAGGAACCTGAAAGTGGAATTTCACAGGAATGTTTATTCTTTGATTAAAGAACTGCAGAGACCTAGACAGAACTAATGGCTTTGGTCCTCATTGTATGAAGACCTTCCTCTTCAGGCAGACTTTTAACAAGTTGTCTCAGGAAGGCTGGTTTTTAACTTACAGACTTTTAGATGTTCTAAAATTGTTTTTAAACTTGGTTTTTAAAATTTAAAATATTTGTTCATTAAGTATGTTTATATTGAGTTTTTTAATGTTTCATCTATTGTGAGCTGCCTTGGGTCCCCTACAAGGTGAAAGGCAGCATATTAAAGTAGCCATAGCATCCAACAGAAGCTTGTTTTGACTCAGCATCCAAGTGCCTTGGTTTTACTTTACATGGGCTTCAGATGGGTCAAATCTTTACCTGATAATACCTGATTTCTCTCTGCTTCTTCATGTTTAACACATCACACCAGTAACATTTGCTGTTCCTGTTATCAATTTGCTGTGTTACGATTAGTCTTGCAACTGGAGAGATGAAACTCTAATATACTATGTAAAGTAAAATCCATCGTCTTCCAATATAGTTTCTAGTTTAGCATGCTTTTCCTAGAATTAAATGTAGGGCTTAAGTAAGAAACTCAATAAAGCTAGGAACTTACTTTGCAAGAGCTGGACAGGGTTGTTACTGACAGTATGATTTGGAGATCACAAGTTGAGGCAATGTGATGCCAAATAATGAACGACAGATACTCTGTTCACACGTCATGTGGTGGTACAGTTAGTTCTACCCACAATTTGTTGTGTGAATTGCATGCTAGATGACCAAACAAACCATGGCAGGTGTTTCCAGTGTTTTTGTCTGTTTTAAGATTCTGTCTCCAGACTGGTGAGTGGGAAACAAACTGTGACAGTAGGTAAATTTGTCACAAGAAACTATGGTTTAAAAATAAACTATGGTTCAGCTTGTGGTTGAGTAACAAACCATGACTTCTTAATAGATGCAGGTTCACAATCACATCAAGATGAGTATTAATAGACTACACTGCAATTTATTGTGATATGTAAACGCTATCACTAATTCATCACTAGGCCATCCATGTGCAGCTTCAGGTAGCTTCTAGTTTAGTTTTGGTGACTAGTACCGTGCCAACTGCTGGTGCCAGAACACCACATATATCCAATACTCTGTCCAGCCCCATTAATTCCTCCTTTTTTCATTCAACAAGGTGCTATACAAATCATATGCACAATTTTTTAATTGGTTTAAACACCAACATATGCAAAACCCTAACTCAACACAAGGCCAAAAAACCCTCTGAGGCTAACATTTTCTCCATTCAGCCTTTTGTGATACATACATTAAAATTACAAAACTTCAAAAGTAGTTGCAAAAATATGGTTTTCAAATGAAAATATAGTTTTTCAATCTCAGATTCAAGAAAACCCTTTCAATACAATCAAAAAGTTTTAACATGACCAAAGAAAAGTCACTCTCATTCTTTATATACTTTGCAGTCAAGGCAACACCAGGTCTAAGGCCTTTCTATTGTGGGTGGGGAAGACACAAAATGTAGGTGTGAGTGAGCCTCAGATCTCTGGAGTGTTTGCATGTGCATTAAAAGTTGGTATTGATGTTAAGCAGATTCCCCAAACTCACGTGTTAGAGGAGGAGGAGTGTAAGACAGTAGCTAGACCAACCAACTTACTGTAATTTTAAAAAGAAAAGATAATATATACTCCTTCCATAAATAGTTGCATTCCACCAGGGAAATTCAAACCTAGGACTTCAGTCTCCTTCTCCAGAACTCTAGTAGAAGCAACATTCTCAGGAGATTCCCTGTTCCTGTTCCATAAGAGAAGAAAACCCATCTGAAGGCATCTACCTCAAAAAGGCACACTAGCTGAATGTTTGCTTGTTCAGCTACCTGTTACAGCATGAACATTAAAAGAAAAATGCTTCAAGCATTTGGCGATTGTGTTCCTGCGACTTCCATAGAGGTCAAAAAGAGGTACAAAAAAGGAGGCTTAAATGTGGATTTTTGTATAATTAACATCCCTGGAAACAGACTGTCCGACTCTACTATTTTCCCAGGTGTCCTCCACCAAATCAGTGCATACCGCCTCTGGCTATGTGTAAGCTCTTCTGTACTCCCTAGTTCAAAGGAAGCCTGAGAAAGATAAGATCATTAATAAAGAACTATAAATGAGCTCTTGCCCCATTAAGCAAGCGAACAGAGACACAAATCTGATGGCTCCTAGTGAAAATATCCCATTAGAGAAAACTAGGTGCTCTTTGGACATTGAAATAGCAGAAGGACAACTGACGCAAACCCATAGGGAAGGGAAGGGTGTTAAGTACCAGGGGTTAAGAGGAATCAAACCTATTGTGGTTACAAAAGATTGGCAATCTGCACTTTTAAGGCTGTTTGTTGGGAGTGCTCAGTTTTCCCAATTCCAAGGCACTCTTTTTTCCACAGGCCACAGAAGGACCACAGATTGATTTTGGGTCTTCCTTACTTCCTGAGCTTCAAACAACCAAAGAACTATGGAAGAGGACACTGTCTTCAGTCTGGTGCCGGTTCCACGACGGTTCCAAGTTCAGTGGAGGTGACAGAGGGGCCTCACTGAAACCGTCTCCCCTTGAGTCTTTCTGCAAACTGGGGACTGGGACTGTGGAAGTAGGCAGGCATGAGGAGAACGAGCCTGGTGGCATGGGACTGGCAGACGAAGGGAAGTCTCTGAACAGGAACTCTACATTGGGAATAAGAGGCTTCACCAAGCTGAATCGGCAAAAGGCAGACCCGGTCGGGTTGAAGTGGACTTTGTTCTTATCAGGACAGGATGGCAGGAAAGGCTGATCAGGACATGGTGACCTAGAGAAAGAAATCACAGTGAAAAGGAAAAGGAAAATGTAAGGATTACTATAATACCATGTTTGACAGCTTTGACTATTTGATCACTGTAAGATCTTTTGCAGTAAGATAGAAATAAGGAATTAATACATGGAAGATATATACACGCATGAGAACAGATATGTATATATGTAAAGCATTTTCCATGTTTTCATTCTGTCTTACTGCAAACGATGTATATATCTATATATAAAACCAGATTTCACACATTAGTGGAAGCCAACATCTCTCCAAATTTTTACATTGTAAGGGAGTCTTGTTAGTACAGGAAGTGCTGCCCGCAAAGAGAAAGTACAGTGTTTGCAGTGACAAACTCTTCAATGTACAAAGTGTTACAATTCTTGGAATTTTTCAGTGTATAAAGGGCTACAATTCTTCTTTCATAGTCATTAACTGAAACCGTTGCATGAGTGGGCTTTAAGTACAATGGTCTGCCAATAAGCCACTATGGGTGCCCAGAAACAACTGTGATGCTGATGTCTAGGGATCTAGAAATAGTTCCTCAACTATGTATATTACCAATCCTAAATACACTTGAGTCTGTTTCTACTTACTATGGGGCCAAACAGGCCATCATATGGGTCAGAAGTATACATTTGAGACAAAGTTCCAGCCTCTCCCACAGCACTTCCACTCCACTGCTTTTGTTTTATCAAAGATTCAGTATTTTGACTTCTAGCATATTTATCAAGTGTGTCCATGCTACCACTGACACTGAGAGTTTTCCTTAAATAGAAACATGTAAATTCCATTCTAGTAAGGCCAGTGTGTATACAACAATAGATATAGAGTCAGAAAATTTGTGTTCCATTACCCATTCAATGCTGGAAATTCACTGTGGAATAGCCAGTGATAAATCACTAGGAATGTGCCATTCTTTTAGGAGGAAGGGGGGGAGACACCAATTCTAAGGTAGAATTATGGAGTTCTGACCTGGAGTACCACAACTACAGATATTTCACTCACCTGGTAACAGGCCTTCTCTGAGGCTGCACGGACACTTCCAGACTGTATTTCCTGTTGCTCATGTGCAAAAACAGAAGATGACATGGTGCTTCCTATGGGTCATAGATCTTCAAGATGTGCCCTCTATAGAACATAAAGGGCAGTGAAACAACATCTACCAGGAAGCACATTGGCATCTTCCTTTTTTGTCCATTAGCATCAGGAAATACACATAGTCATGCAGCCTCTGAGGAGGCTCTTCTACATGTGAGTGAAATATAGATAACTGTTCGTATGAGTTTGAGGGCTGGGACTCCCAGAGTTCTGTCTGGAAAATTCTTGAAAAATTCAGAAACTGGAATAAAAAATGGATGGCACATACTTATAAACCATTCCTTGAACTTGTCACATACTTTGAAAACCTTTTAATGGTCATCATTCAGTTAAACAACTTGACAGCACAGGACAAGGAGCTATTCTTCAAATAGCAAAAAACAAGTTTGCTCAAGGTGTGGAGGAGATATATTTGCCCGGTGGACTTGCTAGCTGCCTAGTGGCAGAATTTCCTTTCTTCATCTCTGATGCCTTCAAAAGCTCTTGATTCCTGCTCAGTGTTATAGCTGAAGTACACAGTACACATAGCACCCTTACATTTTTAGCAGAATAGATAGAGTAGAAGCTGAAGTGTAAAACAAGGGTTGGAGGGACTGTTAGTCAAAGCTGCACTCAGCTCTGAGATTCATTGGGTCAGTCATTAACTCTCAGGATAGCTTTCTTCACAGGGTCATTGTGAGGATAATACGGCATATGTATGTTACTATGAGCTTTTTGGAAGAAAACTGATGTCAAACAATATGTTCTTGCTCTGTCACCTAGAACAGAAGTGCATTCCAGAGACAAACATCCTTCTACTTACATCACTTCATCAAAAGCACGGATTTTTTCACAACCCTCTGGAGGTTCTCGCTTGAACACATAGGTGTGGTTGGGACGAGGAGACAGAGCAAAGGCAACAACTGGAGAAGTGTTACTGTCTTCTGGTGTAACAAAACACAATATTGGAAGGCTTAAATTCAGCATGACACACTGGCTAAAATCTTGTTGCTTAGCTCGGTATTAGAATACATTAGAATAAGCCCGCTGAACCAATGGGGAGTTGGTGAATCAACTCCTCTGTAAGTCCCATTGATTCAAATGGGCCTACTTGAACTGCAACTTACCTTAGTGTAGTAAGTCAGTTAGAATAGGCACATTTGAATCAATGGAACTCAGAGGATCTGACACAAATTCCCATTGGTTCAATAGGCATACAGTGGTGCCTCACACAACGATGTTAATTGGTTCCAAAAAAATCAACGTTGTGTGAAACATCGTTCTGTGAAACACCATTTCCCATAGGAATGCATTGAAAACCGGTTAATCCATTCCAATTGGAACGGACTGCCATCGCTGAGTGAAAATCCCCATAGGAAACATCGCTGTGTGAAACAATGTTTCCTCCATTGGAATGTATTGAAGCCGACGCAATACATTTCAATGGCGTTGCGAAGTCCTTTTTCGCTCCTGTAAAAGTGTCTTACAATGTTTGCAAGCCGTTTTAAATGCTTGCAGCGGTTAGCCCACCTCCTGAAACCTATGCAAACTGATTTTGGTGTTGTTCTGACACTTCATTACTTTATGATGATTTTTTGTTTTCTCCATTGGAAACCATTAGACAGACCATTCAATGGTTTTCAATGGAGCAAACAAAAAATTACCATAAATTAACGAAGTGTCAGAACAGCACCAAAATCAGTTTGCATAGGTTTCAGGAGGTGGGCTAACCGCTGCAAGCATTTAAAACGGCTTCCAAACATTGTAAGACACTTTTACAGGAACGAAAAAGAGACATTGTTGTGTGAAAATCCCCCATAGGAAACATCGCTGTGTGAGGCGGCAAATTTAACAGAAAAAGGCATCGTTGTGTGAATTCATCATTGTGTGAGGCACCCGTTGTGCGAGGCACCACTGTATTCTAGTGTGATCTGCTATGCTAAGCTACTTATTCAGAGAAATACAGAAGCAAAGAGAAACGCCATACAAAATAATGTACTAATTATACCAGACACCAGCAAAATTAAAGACATCAGACAGCACTAAATTTAAGAAATCTTTAACATGTTTTAATTTGAAATTAATCTGTTAGTCAAGAAGTACTAGAATGAAATCCTATAACTCTTTACAAGTGACTGGTCTTGTGACACAAGCAGCTAATAATAGCCCAAGGATAGATACTTTATTTGAAGTTCAGGCAGCACAGTGAACTCCAGCAGAGCTTCAAGCATCCAAGTGGTTCCTGAGCATTAGGGACTCTTACAGCTTTGGTTGGTTTTGGTTAAGGACTGGCATCAGGGGGAAAAAATCTTTGCACTGCAGTTAAAAGAGACTGGATTTGACATTTACTGTCAAGACCCAAGATCAAGATATGTGAATATGCAAACTTAGGCAAGTAAATGCATAAAAAAAGGTAAAGGTTCCCCTTGACAATTTTTGTCCAGTCGTGTCCGACTCTAGGGGGCGGCGCTCATCCCGCTCTTCAAGCCATAGAGCCAGCGTTTGTCCGAAGACAATCTTTCCGTGGTCACATGGCCAGTGTGATTTAGACACGGAACACTGTTTACCTTCCCACCAAGATGGTACCTATTTATCTACTCGCATTTGCATGCTTTCGAACCGCTAGGTTGGCGGGAGCTGGGGCAAGCAACGGGCGCTCACTCCGTCGCGTGGATTCGATCTTACGACTGCTTGGTCTTCTGACCCTGCAGCACAGGCTTCTGTGGTTTAGCCCACAGCGCCACCACGTCCATAAAGTAAATGCATGCTAAATCAAATTAAGTCTGAAGATGGAGAAAATAACTACTATATTTGGACACATGAGAATGCAAGACTCACTAGAGAAGACACTACTACTAGGAAAACTGGAAAGCAGTAGGACATAAGGAAGACTGAACATAAGATGGAATGACTCAGTAAAAGAAGCCATGGCATTTAGTTTGTAAGATTTAAGCAGAGCTCTTAATGCCAGGGCCTTTTCAAAGTGATTCATTCCCTGGGATGCCATTTTATTTTGGGAATGAGACACATTCAAGAGACATCAAGCTCTGGAGGAGCATGATCAGATTCCTAGCTCTCCTGCCCCTCCTTTTTATGGGTATTAAGTTAGAAGGAGCCAGGGAAAAATAAACTGTCTATGGAAAAGCCACTAGGGTAAGCTAGCCTTTTTTATTTTAGAATTCATAACTGCTCTTTTACATAATTAAAATCACAGAATATGTTCGTACTTTCATTTGTTTCCTTTCCCCTCTCCCACCTCTTCATGGACAGCACAGGTAGCTCCTGCCAAGTACAGCCTACAATATCCAACAGCTCTCAGCTACTGCATCAAAGGAAAACTGGTGCAACAATGCTTTCGAAGCTTCTTCAAATTCACCACTCTTCAAGACAATGTACCTCTTGGGAGAAGACCACTGCTGGCCCAAAAGCCTTACCTTTTCCCTTTGTATCCTGCACGGGTCTGTCTACCACACTGGGAGAGGCCTCCTCTATTGTTGCTCGGGCAGGAGTTTTTGGAGACTGCATGGATGCAGCTGAAGGGGATGGAGAAAGAGAAAGGCTGCTACAGCTGCTACTGTTGGGATCCAGCTGGAGCAGTAAGGAGTCTTGCATGACTCCCTGGAGTGGGGCTGGGGCCCTGTGGCCATCTGGGACATCCAGAATCTAAGAAAGAAAGAAAAAGAGATATATCTTAAGCATGGGGAGGCCAGCAGGAATGTTGAGAGCAAAAGAGAAATCTGGGCAAATGAATTTTGACTTAGGACGTTTTCATTCTACTCTTCAGCCAACAAGTGGGTTACGTAAGATAAAAACGATAAGATTCCAGAGCAGCTTATATAAGATCAACAAAAACAAAATTGTCCCTGTCTCGTATGCTTACAGTCCAAAAGGACATGAAATGCAAAGCTAAAAAAGTGATAAGGAGAAGAAGAAAAAACCCGGGCTCCAATTCTTATCTAATAGTTCAGTAACGACCAGCTGCAGTGGAAAGTTTCAGTACAGGAGGAACTGGCCTCTTGGATGACCTGATGATGTTGCTTCACTTTGGCAGTGGCACAATAAGAATATTTGCATGCCGACAACTGAATTCTGAGTTATTGTAAACTCTTCTGGGGCTTTCCAGGCATAATATTACTGAGAAGTGGTCTACAGTTCTTATGCCCAAGGCTACATAGGCTGGCTCTTCTCCTGGGAGGGACAACAGGGAACTCAATTTCCAATCTCTGGCTTTGCAGTCAGATAACTAACCCACTTAGCTATCTAGCCAGCCTCTGGCAGCAGCCAGCAATATGGATGTTCTTCAATAAAGGTATTTGTTAGAATCCCATAGTGTTTGGGAAACAGGAAAACGCAAAAGACCAGTAATGAGTTTCCTTAAATAAGTCTGTATCCCATGGATAGAAATGCCCTCTTTGCTATATGAGAATGTTATGGCACCAGCTCAGGACAGAAGGTAATTTTCTGTGAGTGAAAACCCCACAATCTGACTAACATTTAGCTGTAGAAACAACCTGGTATGCCAATATCACTTTTGGAAAAAGTGAGTAGGGAGGCAAAGGCCACAGATTTGAATCCCCAAGGCAGGACAGGTCAACAAATGTTACCCAGTGCTCATTCCAGCATTTGCACAAGTCAGGGTTAAACTATGCAGTTTATAGAGGTAGAGATCTAACAGGGGGCTGGAAGGATAAAGAATTAAGCACTTTCCTCCTCATTACATTTTTTCTGCAACACTTCAAAATAATTGGCAGAAAAGTGAAGTGTTATTTGCTCCTCAGTTTGACAGAAACAAAGCAAATACAGTGGTGCCTCGCATAGCGAGGTTAATCCGTTCCGGATTAACCTTCGCTATAGCGAAACATCGCTAAATGGAAATAAAAAAGCTATGGCTTTAAAACGCACCGTTAAGTGATCTTCCTCCATAGCGCTGCCATTTTCGCGCCCTTGGTAAGTGAGGGCAGGGCGCGAAAATGCAGCGCGGACCTTCTGGCGGCCATTTTGGAACCACCGATCAGCTGTTCTCCCCCACTTCGTTATGCGATATTCGCTAAGCGAATCGCTTAGCGAATATCGCAAAGCGAAAAAACGCTATAGGGGCCATCCCTGAGCGAATGCTCCAGCGATGGCAAAGAGCCCCTCGTTAAGCGATTTAATTGCTCAGCGGGGCGCTCGTTAAGCGAGGCACCACTGTATCTTTAAAAGATACTCTGAGCTGACTTTAGAATGCTGTAAATCACATGGCATGATGCTTTCCAGAACTTTCTATGTTCAAATTGTGTGGAAATGTGAAGATGGAGAATTTAATTATGCACCTCACTATACAAATGTGCATGTGTACGAGGCATGTGGAATGGGGTAATGGGTCTGAACTTAAAGTAAAGCAGACAAGCACACAGACAACATGATAGCAAAGTTCTATCTTAAGTTCCATGCTTACTCTAGATATTGTTTCCTATCTTGCCCCAGACAGTCATAACTCACCCTGACAAGCTCCTCGTCTCCTTGTTCCTTTACAAACACCTCTTCCAATTCCTGATTAATACCATCAAGGCTGTTGTGAAAACAGGGGTTAATAGACACAGTAGCCAAGACTGGAAAGGGAGCTGGTGGTGAAACCTATAAACAAAGATGTACAATAATGAGTAAAGACACCAATGACACTTTCCTGCAAATACATCTGTCCCACACAGAAGTAGACACACACTTAGTGGACCAACCTCCACTCCATGATCAGTTGTGTGAACATTATGAGGTTGACCTGAGAGAAGAAAATGGCCCACCAAGACTACCACCTGACAAATAAGTCTCCAAATTATCAGATAAAGGTCTCCCTTAAGATTGCTTTCCAAGACTGGGAGATGCTTCAGTGAAAGAACCTGGAACTATCTGAAAGGCAACCATAGGCCCTAAACAATGAGCTCCTGGCTCACTCAGCAATTGTCACTGAGATTTTGAAAGGTCTAGGAGAAATAATGGGCAAGAGCCTAATATGCCTGGGTCAAAACTGTAGCTGAGCCAAAGCCCCCAGGGACTGTGAGCAGACAGCCAGCATACCAAGTCACATTTCTTGGACCTCTACACATAATACCAGCATGGGCAGTTGAGAGGAAAATGGCCAAATTCCTACTAGTGTTACAGGGTGGAGAACAGAAGGGTTCTGTACATCCCACTACTAGAAATGTAACACTAGAATCCAGTATTTTAACTATTAGTGGGGAATCACTTTCAGTCTGAAGGCTATATTTAATTTCAGATATGTTTTTGTAGGCCACATTCTGGTAGACAGCAAAAGGTAAAATTGTGAAATGATAGTTTAAAGGTCTTGCTGCCAATAACAAAGCTTTAGAACAGGCAACACAACATTTTAGAATGGGATAAAATCTGTACAAAAGTAAGGAAGTAAAAAAAATGATGGTATGGCCACATAAATAACTTCAGAGGGTCAAATGTTTACTCCAGGTGAACCAGATTGAAGGACAGGGTTTAAGGTTCTTCATCCGCTTTAAAACCAACTTTCCCAAGAATAACCTTAAATGACCCTCTTCCAAGGGTTTAGTGGAAACTGGGCCCTGATTCCTCGAGCTGCAACCATCTTTTGGGCCAGAATAAGAAAAAGAGGGAGAAAGGTATGAAATATACCTTAGTTGACAAGAGCACCGTGTGATCCCCCTGGATGGGGGAGCTCTGGTCTTTCTCTTTGCTGTTGCAGGCACTGAGTTTTGTTCGCTGGAGCTGCTGCTTCAGTTTAGCAATCTAGATAATTAGGAAGTAGAGAGAGTTAAGTATTCCCCAGCTGGCCATCAGCTACTCCTTGCAATCTTTCTTGCCCACCCAAAAAATAAGACACTAATTTTTTTAGTAATTTTGCAAAGCTATAGGTCTATACCGGTCGTTATCCTTCTATCAAATCACTCTGATACAACAAAGGCAAATGTTCCAATAACTAGGTCACCAGATGATCAATTTAAGTTAACTTAATTCACAATGTATTTTTTATTACCGTAGGGTTTTGAGAGTTTTAAGTTTTACTCTTGTAAATAACCCAGAGCCATCCTTGTACTAATGGGGTGGTATATAAATTGAATGAATGAATGAATAGCAAAATCTGATTTTTATCATAACATGAACCCTCTTCTTTATTTCTATGTTGCTGCTATAAATCACCCAGAGCCATCCTTGTACTAATGGGGCGGTATATAAATTGAATGAATGAATAGCAAAATCTGATTTTTATCATAACATGAACCCTCTTCTTTATTTCTATGTTGCTGCTTCTCCTGTGCCATTTAGTCTTGACAGATCCTCCTAGGTGCCTGCAAAGATTTTAAGATTCAGCAAGATTTAAAAGGACCCATTCCAGGATTATATTGCAGAGAGAAAATCCTGCCATTTTTTTTGTTTTACAAGTTATCTAAGAGGTAGCTGGATAGCTCAATGGTTTAGGTATCTGACTGCGGAGCCAGAGGTTGGGAGTCTTGATTCCTCACTATACCTTCTGGGAGAACAGCCAGCCTGGGTAGCCTTCGGCAGGCTGCACAATCCCAGAGAGCCCCCAGAACAAGGGAATAGTAAACCAATTCTGAGTATTGCATACCTGAAAAACCCTGAAAAAGGTCACCATAAGTCAAAATTGACTTGACAGCACATGATTATTAATCCTGCCGTCAACACTCCCCTGCTAGGGCAATATGTAGAAGCCACATAATCCTGACACAGCTTTTCTCTCTGTTATGTGTAAATGGAAGTTAAATATAAATGCTAATGCCTTCTAGGACATTATAAGTGAAGACAATGCTCCAACTGCTATCTTTTCAAACCCACTTTTAAATTTATCTACTTCCTGCAATATCCCATCCATTCCCTGCAACAACAAGGAATGGATGGGATATTGCATATTGCAAAAGCTACATATTGTTCCTCCTTAACAGAATAAATGAAAAATAAATAAATAAATAAATAAATAAATAAATAAATAAATAAATAAATAAATAAATAAATAAATAATTAGAAAGCTCAAGTTATGATTTATGACATTTGATGTACGATATGTTTCTCAATAGTGTCAGCTCTGTCATCCTAGCAAGATAAAATGGTCAAAATGCTATTGTTTGAGTATGATTTGTACAACTTACTGTAGCTAATTGATGAGATGCCGAAGCATGACCAATTGCTCAATTGAGATCTACCCTGTCACATCAATTAACCACAGTAGGTCAAGTTATGATTTATGACATTTGATGTACGATATGTTTCTCAATAGTGTCAGCTCTGTCATCCTAGCAAGATAAAATGGTCAAAATGCTATTGTTTGAGTATGATTTGTACAACTTACTGTAGCTAATTGATGAGATGCCGAAGCATGACCAATTGCTCAATTGAGATCTACCCTGTCACATCAATTAACCACAGTAGGTTACACAAACCATACATACAAGGACTGATAGTACAGTATTCCAGCCTACAAATTTCACTTACAGTAGTTTTACCTAAGAAGATTTCTATTGTTTCTTCCATTGATAGAAAAGGTATTACAAGTATATTTTAACCACCCATAAGACTATATGGTGAAATCCACTCGATGCACCAACAACTGAAAACAACTCCTAATTTTTAATCCCCATTCTGAGCATTTGACTTGTTTGGGTGCTTGCAATGAAGATCCCAGCTGGACTGTACTGGTGAGGCACAACAAATGGGGAAAGTTTCTTTTTAAATGAAAGAGCCATCAGGTATGGTAGACACTAAATCTAGGTTTCTTTGATACAGAGTGCAAACACTATGGCACAACGTGTACATTGGCAGCTTAATTTCTTTTGCAGAATAAGCAGCAGGAAGACAGATACTGAGTTGCCAAATAGCTCTCTCTCACCTCTTTACGATGATCCATGCTGTTCCAAGAGGCAGAACGCTTATGGGCTGCAGCCCTTCCTGCCTCTGCTTCATGCCAGGACACAGGAGTCTGCAAAGAGTGAAAGGAGTGCCTCAGAACTTGGCCACAACTGTTAAAAAGGGTAGTGCCAGCACAATAATTTCCTCCTGAAGACTAATTTTGAAAACATTCTGAGGAAGGAAGTATAGACTGATTGCAGGACGTGTTGAAAAACACTGAGTCTCACGTCCATATGGAAAGAGAGGGCATACGGGATGGCAAGCTCTGGTCAATCATTGCCACGTATATCAACAGCAGAGCATAAAAGGTAACCTCTGCATTTGTCCTTATGCGACAGCTTGCCTGGAGGGTCTACACATTCCCACACAGAAGCAAATGTTGTTGTAAAAACAAAACAAAACAAAAAAATCTAGTAGCACCTTGAAGACCAACTCCTGTATTTGTTAGCCTTTATGGTGATATGAGACTTATTTGTTGCAACAGACTAACAGAATTGTCCCTTCCTCCCAAAATACTGCTAAAGTTATGAGCAGAAAATTCAACTAGATTTTTCAGGAAAGATCTCTAAACAGCAAGTGTCTACCTTACCTCCTTTCACAAGAATAATTCTAGAATTAGCATGTTTGCCCACACTGGAGCCAGTCAAATCCACAGGAGTTTTGACCTGAATCATTCTGAGGTGATTCTGAAGCCTCCTAACCAGTATGCAAATTTACAGATCGGCATTATTTGTTGTCTTTACCCAGAGATTGCCGCTCACTTTCCAACAGAAACGCAGACTATACACCTTTGCTGGATCTTCTTAAGACCTCTACACCCAGAGGAAAGGCAGAAGGGAAAAACCTGAACTAGGAATTGGTGTCACCACTTCTGAAGAGACCTCAAATAAATCAAGCTGCTACAAACTGCTACACATAAGATCTTATCCAACAAAATCCCTCATGAAAAGAAAATCTTTCCACTTTTTCTCGTCTATATACACCTTCATAATTTGAGCCAGAAGTAACAGGACAGGAAGGGAGGAGCCAAGATGGTAACATTTATTTATTTATTTATTTATTTAATTTATACCCCGCCTATCTGACCCACCGGACCACTGGCTGTGATGGGCCAGTGTGACACCTCCCAAGAAAATAAAAATGAAATGTTTGGTATTATCCAGGTAAATACAAGTACTCCCAAAACCAGCAGCTTGCCAGATTCACTATTCAAGCCTTTCTGCTTTACAAGCGGGGAATAAAAGGGGAAAGCAAATAACAGGGTATCCATCTCTTGGTATACCTCAGAAGGATAAGCTGCTAAAACATTTTATGCTTCTACCATGCTATACTTCAGGATCAACATCAACTGACGAATACTACTACAGGCAAAGCTATTAAAGAATAAAGTTTCCCTCATCTATAGATTTCCACTCTGATCATCTGCTTCCCATTTCAGCAGGTTGTTTAGAGACAGTTTCATTTCTATCCCAAAGGCTTCCTTCCACTGCCACAGTAGCTGTAAGTGGCTGCTTCCAAGACCTGTTGCAAAATAAACATCTGGCGACTGCCTTTCTGAACACTTCTGTTGAAGAACCCTACAACCTCAAAAAAACTACTGTAGAGCCAGCCACCTTCCCAACTGGTCGAACCTTATAGACATAGGGACTGAGGTACACGAGGAAGCTTCAGACATCCTGACAAATGCAGGAAAACAGAAGAAGAAATAGTATCTTAAAGTGTCACATCAATGTTAGGTGGAAAGTTGCTAGCCTGCTGTATAATAATGTGGTGTGGGGGCAGTGACAAATATCAGGGAAAGCTTGCAAAAATGGGTGGGTGGGTGGAATCAAGAAAACAGTAAACTTCAACTGACTAAGTCTTCACCATGGAAAGAAATGACACCAATCCTGGCATTGAAGAATTCCACCAGGAAGAAATAACATCTCCTACATGTTGTTGCAACAGACCAGCCCCCTACACACAGACAATGCAAAGCACAAACAACTGCATCATAGTGAGAGCTCCCTATCCAAGCTGAGATTACCAAACAGCTGAGGATGCCTCTGTCAGGAAATTGGCTTCATTATGCAGTCACGAACCTCTGTACTTTTGCAATTTACTTCTTGCCTTCCTGTTCTCAAATCTGAATAAAGGAGCCAGCATTTATACACTGCCTACAAAGTCCACCTGAAGCAACAGGAAATAATTTTATTTCTACATCACCCCACCAGAGTTCATGAGCTTATCTGGAGCAAATAACTAAAATATGTATCTATTTATATTTAAGGTTGATTACGTGAGAAAGCTCAACCCACATTTATGCTAGCGTTAATCCATTTCTTTGTCTCCAGGCAGTACACAATTCTAAAGCCCAACAGCAAGAATAAAACAACCTTGTACTTAAGCCATGGACAGGCAACTATGACTCTACAGATGTTGGCCTGCAACTTCCTTTAATCCAAGCCAGCACAGCCAATGGCAGATAGTAGAAGCTGAATGTTCAACAATGTCTGCATAGTTGCCCACCTGTGATTTAAGCACTTGCCTAGTAGCCTTAATCAGCCAGAAATTGCATGCAAGTGAAGAGACCCAGATTTAAGAATTAAGCACACTGTCCTCTCTCAGCAACTAGCAGAGAAAGACAGTGGGTTGCTAGTTAAGAGAAACACCCTCCTTGACATCCAGTCTAAAAATGCAGATATCCATAACCCTCCCTTACTACTATAAGTTAGGAACTGGGACTGGGGTATTCACAAGGCTGCCAATACAATTATTTAAGGAGCAGAAAATGCACTACAACTACCAGTGCTTTGCATTATTCGTTCGTTCGTTTAGTTGTGTCCGACTCTTCGTGACCCCCTGGACCAGAGCACGCCAGGCCCTCCTATCTTCCACTGCCTCCCGGAGTTGTGTCAAATTCATGTTGGTTGCTTCACAGACACTGTCCAGCCATCTCATCCTCGATCGTCCCCTTCTCCTCTTGCCGTCACACTTTCCTAACATCAATGTTTTTTCCAAGGAGTCGTCTCTTCTCATGAGATGGCCAATGTACTGGAGCCTCACCTTCAGGATCTGTCCTTCCAGTGAGCACTCAGGAAGGACAGATCCTGAAGCTGAGGCTCCAGTACTTTGGCCATCTCATGAGAAGAATCCTTGGAAAAAAACTTGATGTTAGGAAAATGTGACGGCAAGAGGAGAAGGGGACGACCAAGGATGAGATGGCTGGACAGTGTCTGCGAAGCAACCAACATGAATTTGACACAACTGCTAAATGTCTCTGACTAAGAGTTAACTTGGCATCTGAAAGACAGCTACAGGAAGAGTTAATCCTTTTGCCAAATCAGACTCCCATTCTATCCCTTTCACTTGCACATGCTATGTTCTCCCTAGTTATATTATTTCACAATGGAGTGGGGAGACATTTTCTATGCCTTGTACTTTAACAGAATAAAATTTAGTGCAGAAGGCAGTCACACCAAAGACACATCAGAAAGAGATGGCGAACTAGCTGGTAGGCTCTTGTTTGTCTCGTGCTCTGAGCAGAAAGAAAGCCACAGACTGCTTCCAATCCCAACCAAAACCTACACAAGCTCTGGCATGGGGAAAGAGGTGATGGGAATATTCCAATTCCATTTTGTAATTCTTAAGAGTTGCCATAGGAAGCCCTGACTCTGGGTACCTTATTTCAAAGCCAAGCCTCTGGGTAGTGTGGGAGGAAGTTTCTGAACTCATAATTCTGATCGTGGTTAAAGAGCTTCCTCTGAGCAAGCAAGGAGAGGAAAGTTCTTTGAGAAGCTACCAAGTCTGAAACCACAAGGTCAGCTAAACTGGGGAGAAGACATGTCTCAAGTCTCATGCCTCTAAAAAGATCTAATATATTTACATTAAAAAACACAAGCTATATAACCCAAAAACACAAGATATTGGGGTCTATTGACACACTGTTGGACATTGCACAAAGAGAGAATATCATTCTGCAAAGCAGAGCTCTCCAAAGTTTGAGATACCTACTCATTGTGCCGTATCGGCACAATACAAGAAATACTAAATATTGTTCAGAATATCTGTCACAATGGTCTGCTTAAGCTGATAAAATCACTGTTTTCTTATTAAGGTCTAAGTATCATACTCTCCTTGGAACTTTCCCACATCTCTGCCATTCCAAGGGGAATGCCCACCCATTTGAGAAGTTTATAATGTGGGTAGAAATAGATGAGCTATCACTGACTGCTGCTGCCCAGTTGTTTTGGGTTACAACTGCTGACTGGGCATAATGGGACTTGGTGCCCTCAAGTGTGTTAAGATTGCAGACTGGGGGGAAATGGTACACTGCACACAAGTGCTGATCCTAGAATGCAATACAGTAGGTAGGTAGATCTTCGTCCTGCAGGAGCAATTAGAAAATCACAGAATAAATTGTATCGAAAGAACCTTGAAAACTCCCAGTGTGCTTACTTAGTTATGTTTGAACCCTCTAGTTTTTATTTCACATATGTACCCATGTCAAGGAAGAACCATGTGGCTCTTTCAAATCTTTTCTTTTTTTGAGCACTCCAAAACCACAAATGAAAACTGGGCCACTGAATCTTTGGTGAGGCAGGACATCCAAAGCAAGTATTTTACTTGCTTTAAATGGCTTGTTATAATTTACTGCTAAAATTTGGGAGCAAATAGGAAAAACCCACTTAAAAGCACCTACTTGTTTTCAATTGCTTATAGTAGTTTGTCACACAAATTAGGCAGCAAACCAATCATTACATTTAGAGCAAGTAAAATAATTTTTTTTAAAAAAATCCTCTGTTGCTGTCAGGTATCAGCACTATGAAAGGTTGGTGCAACCCATTACAAATACTGAAAGGGGCAAAACTGGGGGCCCTAAACCTGCCAAGTTGCTCACCCTGACCTATCCTGACAAATTAAAAATAAATTGTATCTGAATTGTACAGCTGCCATTCTTCTTTTGTCGCCAAAGGATCACTGCTGCTCTCTAGAAATATTTAGATGTTGCTAAGGGTTCCTCGATGGCTGGAGGCTTCCCACTCCATCTGGGAGAGTACAAAGCTTCACGCTGAGCAAGCTCTTCCATTGCAAGAGCCCTCATTTTTAAGGTCGAACATGGCCAACAGCCCATGAATGTTATATAAGGGTTTTGGCCCAGCACAACAAGCAGAGCTGAAAAACCTCCAGAGTTCAGCCCATTCCAGAAGGAGAGTGCCAAAGGCCAGCTGCTTGTGCTATAAAGCCAAGGGAAGTCAAGCACTGCCTGCAAGCAACAGAAGCACAACAAGGGAAAGCCATCCCTAGAAAGCTATGGAACAAAAGAGACAGAACTTGAGATCATGATTATGTTATTGTTATGGGCATCAAAGGAATTATACTGAAACTTAAGCACTCCCACCCTTGCAAGGAAATTAACAAGGCACCTTGGCATATTTCAAAACATCATATTTAATATGATCGTGCTACCATAATGCAGTACAGTTGTGCCATGTACATGTATTTCACTTTTTAAAGTTCAGGTATACTTTAAAAATGCTCAGGCACAGACCTGGAATTTACTGTAAATATCTGAGCAGAAAACAAACCTAAAATTTCTCGTTTCCAATTTAAACAAACTGATCAGACTCCAAGGTCCCCTTAAACATAACCTAAGACTACCAACAGGTAGATTTTATAAATTGTTTGGCTAAACAGGATCAGTGGAGGTAATATTGTGAGGAATTCTGAAATTCCTAGAAGGGTTAAACTATATTTCAGGGAAATTTTGAGGTGATCAAGGGACTAGAAAATATTCTCCTATTAGGAAAGTTTTCAGTGTTCAGGAGGAAAGATAAATAAGGGAGAATAAGATATTGAGGTGAATAAAATTATTCAAGGTGTGCAGAAAATGGGCTGGCAGACATTTTTCAATCTCATGCAATACTAGAATCTGGGTTCATCCATCAAAAGTGAATGAAGAAAGATTCAACATAGACAAAAGATAAGGCAGACAGGAATACTTCTTCACCCACACAGTTAAACTATACAGAACTCACTGTCACAAAACGACAACTGTAAAAAGAGATTAAAAAGCTATCAGTGGCCAATAGCCAAGTGGCCATATATACTATCTCCACTATCAAGGACAGTATGCCTCTCAAATAGTAGTGGTTAGAGACCCCAAGCAGAGGAATTCTATTCTGCTTGGGGGCTTCTACAGGCATCTAGATGGACTCTTCTGGAATAGATTAGTGCAATGGTTCCCAATCCTGGGTAACACATGCGATCATAGGACTGCAATACCAGAAGCCTTCACCACCAGCTGTGCTGGCTAAGGTTTCTGGTAGTTGCAGTCCAAGAACACCTGGGTTAGCCAAAGTTAGCAAGCACTGGGTAAATGAATAAACAGGCTTTTAGTCTGATTCTACAGACCTTTACTTATGCTCTTGGTTAGACTAAGGAAGTAAAACAGGTAGCCAGAGACTGACAATTTTTGAAGCTACAATAGCCCCCATCCCTTTCGTAGTTAAAAATTCTGGCTGAGCATTCTCTGTTTCAATACCCAACTGTTTCCCCTGCCTCTGAGTTCTGGAGACAGAAGCTCCACTAAGCAAAACAGATGCCTTGCAACTAACTCTCTTTGTCCAACTAGCCAACACAACTCATTTTCCACAATGTCTCACACCTTATAGCGGTAATACCTGGGTAGACTTGTCCCGCATATGTGCTACAGTGACTCCTTCAGCATCCCGGGGCCATTGACCCAGGAGGTATGATCCAAGGACGTTGTCCAGGGAAGAAGTGCGCCTCACTCTGGGAGGTCTATTCCGGCATGCCTTCTCAATGGGGCCAGTAGCACATGGAACGCTAGCTGGATAGAAAGAAGGAGAAACACATAAGAATTTGGGCTGTCCCACAACTACTACCAAACACTTTCACCACCAGCTTCAATTCCTCCACGGAAATCTATCAGGAACTGCCTCCAATACCTAGAAACATCAGCTGATTCAGTGCTAACTGGGGCACACTTGCTGTGTTACCATCAATAACTTCCATTTTCTGAACCCAATTCAGAGCTGGTTTGCAACTTTAAAGCACTAACGGTTTGGGGCCAGGATTTCTTAAAAAACCCTTTCCTACTCACTTGCTGTGATCTTTCATGTGAAGACCTCCCTACTCCATGACTTTCAATATGGCTGACAGGGACACAAGATTCTGTCTTCATTCCTAGCACCCAAGCTTTGGAACGCTCTCTCCCCGCCAGGATCCTTTGACTTCCAATAAGCTTGCTTTTAGAGATGTTTGGTCAAAAGACTGCATTTCAGCCAGCAGTGTTACATCACACCATGTTAACTCTACTTATTTTCTATTTTTAATTGCTGCTGACTGTGTCTGTTTCTTGTCACCATTTTATTCATTGGCTTATTGCTCTTCCTGATTCCATGAGATAATCATTGTTACATGATTGTTCTTTCTAGCCTTGGAGTTTCATGACACATAAGAAAGATAAGTATATTTCAAAATATACTAGGCTCATTTTCTACTGCTCACCACTTACGTGGGTCATCCTAATGAATGTGTCAGGATTTCTAATGCAACAGGGCCAGTAGCAAGTTTCTTACATGGAGCTAGGGAACCTGTGGCTCACCATACATTTTTGACTACAACTGACATAATCCTTTATCACAGGTCCTGCTGACTAGGGTTTCTATCAGCTGAAGCCCAAAGCATGGGAAGGGGGAGTCCTCACACCATCCTTGCTAAACCTGTATCATGTATGAGTTGTGAAATACACCCTTGTAAATGCAGATACACCATCCTTGCTAAACTTGTACTGTATCATGTATAAGTTGTGAAATACACCCTTGTAAATGCAGAAGAAATACTTGGAAAAGCATTGGGTGTGGTTTCTATAGATATCAAAAGGGAAACATGCATGGGCATTGTTTGCAGTTGATGCCATTCAAACAAATTTTTGAAGTCTGGCACCTGGAACAAAAACACAAGACTTAGCAGGAGAAGTCAGCCCCTACATCACTCATGCCCTGGGGATAAGTCTTCTCTCAGCTGTGTCTTCTTCAAATATGTGGAAATGAAATATGAGACATACTACTGTAACACATCCCTCAGGATAGCAGTCTAGTTTCATATTAATATACTCACTTCCCAATTGCTTCTATACTAGAATACATTTTAGCTCCTTATTTTTAGACTCTGTGCAGAAGAGCCATACACACCTGGCCTAGCTCCTCTGTGCCATAGGCTGAGCTCAATGCTACTGCCTACTGTTCCATTACTGCTATAAAGAAATTGGCGATTTTAGACATTTTCCCAGTAGAGAGATTATTTCCACAGAAGTGTCAGAGCAAATCTTTTATAGATTATTTCTCTTGCCAAAGTTGCAGCCATATTTGTCAGTAACAGCCATACATAGAGTATATTTCTTCTTCAGATTCCACCACTCTCCCTTACAATCAACCTTTCTGTAAGCTGATCTCCTAAGATTTTATCTTGGTTCAGAGATCCAAAAATCCAGTCCTTCTTCAACTGTGAAATCACAACACAGCTGAGAGGGAAGTCAGTGGTAAAGGACATACTTTACATGGAAAAGGTTCCGGGGTCAAACCCTCCTATCTCTTTAGCTGCCCTAGAAACTATGGAAACTGCTGCCAGTGAATACAGACAATCCTGAGCTTGATGTGTCACTATAAGGGAGCATGTGTTTTGTCATGAGTTTGTTACATAGTCTTAGGGAAGCCACAATGCCTAAAATGATTTTACAGACCTGTCTTTATTCCTTAATTACAAATGCATGAGGAGCTAGGCCAGGTGTGTATGACTCTTCTGCACTCCAGATATCTTGGACTATAACTCCCACAGCCTTTTATCACTTGTAACAGAGGTGGTGGATTCTGGGAACAGTAGTCCAAAACATCTTAAGTGCCAAAAGTTCATCATCCTGGGGTTATGCTAACATAATGTCTTAATAATACCTTCCAGGTGCCAAACATTATAAAGTTAGGCCTTATATCAAGGATAGGGAACCTGTGACTCTCCAGATATTGCTTGACTACCACATCAATCATCCATCCCCCAGTGCCATGCTAGCTGAAGCTGATGGGAGACGAAAGCTTAAAATCAGCTAAAGTGTCACAAGTTCCCTTAACCCCCTTGTTGTAAATGAAGTTGATGACATTCAAATTTCACCTCCTGTGTAATGCCACCTCCCCAAGGAATAATTTCCCTCACACTGCCAGCCCAAGAACCAATAAGATAATTGTAAAACAATGGTTTGCAATCTTTGGTATTCCAAAAATTTTGGAATTCACCTCCCAGAACATAAGAGCTATTTTAACTTAAAGTGAAAAACATCTGAAGATTCGGAGCCACTGTTGTAAAGGATGCAGAGCTCTGGAAAATCTTGCACAGTGGTTAAAAACCATGATGCTGGGAGCCAAGAGATAGAAGTCACATGGGAAGCCTTATGCTGAGCCAGACCCACAGTCTGATCTCAGCTTAGAAGCCTTGTCCCACAACGACAGTTTCCAAGACCTTGCCCAGTGAAGTATGTGTTTCAGGCTTGCTATAACATGGGATATTCTGCAGGCAATGCAAGTATTTGAACCCCAATCCCAGTCAATACTATATTTGCTTGCTCTGTTACAGGACAAGACAACCAGAAAAAGTGAAGGCAGAACGACCAATTATATTACCATCTAAGGAGCTCTGAGGAAGAACTACAGTACAAGTGAATGTGCAGCTGCCAACTGTTTCTCGAAAAGGGAGGCAGACATTTACAGCATTTTGGCTAGAGCATTTATTTCCCAGCATCGAAAGCAGAGTGGAACAAGTGTTAAGAGGGAGAAAATGTGTAAGAACATAAGAAGAGTCCTGCTGGATCAGGCCAAGGGCCCATCTACTCCAGCTTCCTGTATCTCACAGTGGCCCCACCAGATGCCTCTGGAAGCACATGAGGCAACTAGATATCTGTCTCCTGATACCCCTCCCCTGCATCTGGCATTTTGAGGTACTTTCCTTTTAAGCCTGGATCCCTCTCCTGATACCTTTTTATAGGGGATCCCTCTCCCGATTCCTATGTGGCCAAGAGGGATATGGAACAAGAGTGCAAAAAACCCTGTTGAGTGAAAGCCTATGCCAACACTGGTGATTTCAAATAACTTCCTGTCATATAATCTTAGAACTGCAGAACTAGAAAGGACTGCATGGATCATCGAGTCCAGCCTGTTAGGGAGGCCCAGTGGGGAATTGAACTCCCAACTTTTGGCTTTGCAGCCAGATACCTAAACCACTGAGTTATCATCAACACATTTGCAAAATTAAATGTATGAAAAATGAAGACATGTAGAATGGCTTTACTCGACCCAATGCCTGAATTATTCTAGCAATGGGAAGACTATGCGGTGATCTGAACAGAAAGTTGTGACTACCACAACTACCACCATCACTGTGGGCATTATAAATCTACACTGTTGTTTCTTCTTATAAGTGGGGGCATTTATTTGAACCCTATGAAATCTCTTTCATCACTATGCATTGCCTTCTCTTAGACTTTAAAGAGAAAGGCATTGTGTATAGCTATCATCTTGCAGCGAAACTGTTAACTACCCATCTTACAGGGGGATAGGATAGCATGCAAGTGAGGAGACAGCAGTCTACATGGCAAACTTTTTTTAATCCATCAAAAAGACTGAAAGAAATAATCACAGCACTTTACTGTTATGGGTATTTGAGCAGTCCAACATGCCTTCTCTCAATAATCTCATTTCCCCTATAACACGGAGGAACATTGTACACACAGAAGAAAGGCCTAACACTGACAGGAGGAACATACACAAAACCATCATCAAGTCTGTAGAGGAGGCAGGAAAGCTCTGAACCAAAGGTATCTTCTTACAGATCTCATTCTCAATCATGACGCTCCCAAGCTATTCCATTTAAGCAGAGAGGGGGGGAAAATGCCAACCAAAGCCCAAGGCTGGGGATTGTTTGCTTTTCATTTAAACATAAATTAATATGTGCTCATAAATCCGGGACCTCCTGGTGCGCTGCCAAGGAAGGGAAGATCGCTGGCAGCTCCAGTTCAGAGCTCCTGACTCACAGCACTTAAACAGCTATTTAAGGCCTCTCTTGACTGGTTGTTGACAGGACATCAGGGTCGGTTATTTGAGGCACATGCAACTTGCACTGCATTTCAAGAGCACTGGCTGGGCTTAAGTCTGCTTGGCAGTGTTTAGTTTGTTCTCTTGAGCTTGAAAATCTCAGCCCTTTAAGCCAGAGGTGTGGCTACACAGTGGACCTAGGCAGCCTACACAAATTCTCAGACCACAGCACCCCAGGCCTGCTGGGACTGAGAAATCAATCCTTATCCATACAACTTCCACCTGAAATGGTGTTGCTGGGGCTCAAGACAACTGGTGCAGAATCAGTGAATGAACCGAGTTAGCAGAGCTGAAAAGATTGCAGCCCAGCTGAACTGAAGTGCTTTTCTGGCCAGGTCAAAGCAACCTAAAAATACACCCAGTGCAGCAAAACAATGCTTGCTACAAGACAAAGACAGCTTGTGGGAGAAGCAGAAGCAGGGTGGAGTGTCCTGTTTACAAGGCAGTTCAATTATCAGCAGAGTCCATTAGGCTGTGATCAACCAGGCCCCAATAGACTATGTATCCTGGGATCTGTTCACTAGCTAAGCAACTTCAATATGGGGTATGTGGGGAGGGTCAAGACAGAATAGCTCTGAGATAACAGAGCGCTCACTATCGCAGTGCCACAGTTTGACAGCTGCCTTGAGCCCTCTGTTCCTCCAGCTAGGATGGCTCCTTTCTCATTCTCTTGTTTGTTATGCAGGGAAAA